ATTGATTTATTTTTGTAATTTGGCACTCTCACTACTCCATAAGTTACTCCAAAAGGTTTGGTGCATTCTGAAATGGTCTGGATTGGTTCTGTCTATCAATGGTACTGGTTTTACCTACGGAGGTACCAGGTTCTGCAAGTTCTACTGGTAACGTTTGGATAACCTGGATGCCTGGCAGTCAGAGTCAAGTGTGAAGTAGTTTGGATCAGCGGTTGGTCGGTGACACAGGTAGCAACACCGGAGGCCAAAGACACCTCTCATTCCTAACAGGCCTCTTTTGAACTGTCACTGAATTAGTTTATACAAATAAATGAGCTAAAAATCCTTCATGCAAATCACTTTAACGCATGGATGCAGAAAACAGAATTCAATTATTAATCTGGGAACAAATTCTTGAGAAATTACATGTTGGACAAACAAAATGTATGTTTGACTAAAATGTACAAAAGCAGCTTCATAATTAGCTGCAAGAACTCTGAAGGTATTTGCATTTTTAACATATTCAAAACAATTGTGTATATATATATTTTATATATCATTAGCAGAGCTGTTTCCTTTAGTTTCCCTGGGAGGAAGGTTTCATGACCTTTCAGGAAGCGTATCATATGTTAATGCAGGAATTGGTTAATGCACTTCTGGTATTAGCATCTCATCAGACACCACGCTGCCTTCACATATTGTCCAATGCGTTTGTGAACTACAGGAAAATCTGGAATTCATTAAACTAACAGCACTCGACTAACATTATAATACTTAAATCTGTATCTATACTCAACACTATTGGGGAAAAAAAACAAAGTTAAAAAGGGGACAAACCCAAATTTCAAGCATGTAAATGACTTCCAAAAAGACAACAAAGTTTTCAGGTGTTTTCTGCATTTGTACTTTTATAATAACTTCTTTAAAAAAGCTGTCTGGACATCTAAGTGAAGCCTTCAAAGTCACGCATTTATAGGTCCAGGCTGCATCTTGAAAGGGTCGGCGAACAGAAGACTGCAGATGTGTTTTTTTCACAGTTATCATTTCCAAAACAGCTTGGAACATTGTTTACAGCAATACCCTCCTGTGGCTGCGAAGTCTCTACTTTAATGTGCCTTCGTAACAAGAACACCGACTTTGATTTTTTTTTTTTTTTCCTTGTGCGGTGAGAGGAAGGAACGCAATAAATTATTAAGCAGCAGATGGACACACATCCCCCCGACAAGTATGCAATTAACATTTTACTTAAATCAAGGCGAAGCACCGGTTTCCAACACCTGCACTCGACTGCTTTAAAAGAGCAACAATCCGGCGCACTCGACCGGCGAAGAAGCATTGTTTTTCTCCCCTTTTGCTCTTTACATTGCCCTTCACGATATCATAACACGTGGTGAGCACCACTCAGCGGTGCGCTAATAGCTAATGTGGTGCCTCTTTGCTGGTTGCCACAGTGATTTTATTTCTCTTTGCAGCAGGTGACAGAGAGCTCGGTCCTCGCTGAGGAATCACTATTGGTCCCAATTCTGAGGATGTAGCGCTAAACTATGCTTTTATTCCATGTGGCATCAAGCCCTGTCCTCTGTGCCGGACTTCTTCTCTACTTTATGTCTGTATGGAAGGAATAAATAAGAGTGGGGGCAAGTGGACATTACAAAATAAAAGCATCTAGGGTTTAATTATAAATCAATCAGTCACATGTGGAATTGGAAAAAAAAAAGCCATATTGCCAGTGAACATCCCAAGAGAGCAAATTATCCACAGTGAGTAAAACACAGCCTGTGGGAAATGGAAGAATAATAAAATATTTTTAGAAAAACATCACTTAATATCAGAGCAACCCCCTCTTCTATTGTCAAATTAGCTCGTCTTGCTTAAAAGGCTAAAACAACCATAAAAGTCATTAAAAAATCTATACGAATCTGGAAAAATCTCACATTTCACATACAAGAGAAAAAAGCAAATCAATTGAAAACTGTTAGCAAGTCTGCCGCTCTGATTGCAGAGGATGATTTGTGTAGAAGAAGAGACACGCGGGAAGAAAGGTGGATTCCTTATTGACGTGAAAGCTGGAGAAAAGGCTGAAGACAGGAGCTGGTGGCAGAGTTCTCTAGTCTCCTGGTTGTCTCAGGTGTCGCAATTTTTTAGCTAAGTCTCAGAACTCGAGGTTGTTTCAGCTGAAAACATTTGATGGGCGAACTTAGCGAACAGAATAAGAAAAATGAAAGACGGTTCTGCTGTCAGCAATCAGTTCGGCACAGAAGAAACTCGCAGGGATGCAGGTGTATTCAGAAAGTGACTCCTCTTCTTTCTTTATGTGCAAGCTGTACTGGCATAGCTTTAATAATGTGTGTGTGTGTGTGTGTGAGTGTGTGTTGGAGCAATCAAATAAGACTCACATCAACCACAGGCTGCAAAACTTCTGTCAGCTCTCCTCTGGCATCCAGCGAAACAGCAACCGAGGCAAACGGACGACTGGCCATCTGCTGGCGCTCTCTCATCAGTTGCTGAAATATCAAAACACAGATGACAGATGAGCGAAACATATGACGGACTCTAATTCAACAATACACGGCCAGAAAGAGCACTGGGGGAATCACGCTCTACTGAAATAGAAACATATATAAATGCATGCACATTTCCACATGCAGTACATCAGAGGTACAACAAGCCTTCAAATGCTTTAAAAGTTTAAGACAAAAAAATCCCTAATGAGGAATTAAATAACCTATTAATGCATGAAAATGTAAAGAAAATGCTTTGAAAATCTAATCCAACTCTTTAAAATAAATACATCAATGCTAATAATGCAAGAATTTAAAAACAAAAGGAAAAAAAAAAAGAAAAGTTAAATGTGGTTCTCAAACTGGGGGTCGGGGCCCCCATGGGGGTCCCAAGATAATTTCAGGGGGTCACCGGATCATTGTAAAAAAATAAATAAATAAAAGTAAAGCCTACATCTATCAGACAAATGTGTATTAGGGCTGTCAAAATTAAAGGTGTAGACTTCTTCCCACTGCTTTTTCAAACTTGTTAATATTATGATTTGATTATGTGATATTATTATTGTTTTTTGCTCTTTCTTTTGTTTATATATATTTTTTCCCTTTCATTTGCTCGAAATAAATTCAATTCATTCATTTATTCAAAAGAAAATTAACGTGTTAGTGTAAAGAGATTAATTAACACATTAGTTTTTAACACATTAATGCACAAACAAATCAAATTCAAATCAAATTGGGGGTCACAAACACAAACTTATGTTATCTTGGGGGTCGTGGTTTAAAAAGTTTGAGAACCACTGATCTATGGGTTCAGGGAGGACAAAATAATTAAAAATCCGCATTTATTATAAAAATAATCATAATTCTAAATCCACATTCATACATGTACACAGTTATTGGTCTGACAGCAACCAACACTATAATTATGACACTGAATCTAAATTATGATGCATGTGGTCATAATTGCTGTAAAACATGCTGCAGTGAGTGTGAGAGAACTGATTTCATGCACTGTGATTTACACCTTCGGGGCAATTACAGTATGAGGCGAAGAATCGATAGCAGATATCGATGAGGGACGATTCATGAATTACCATGACCTGAGGACATGTGGAATTACAGTGAGAGCCAATTCTGTTTTTAAGATTTCATAAAACTGAATACAGGAAAATGTTGGATATATTTATTGCTATGTAAAACATGGAGTCTGTTTATGATGTACAAACTGATCTACATATTCCAAACATTTTTAAACATGATCATCGAAGACAGGAACAGAAGCAGGGCTAGATTTACTTACATCAGTATTCAAAGCTAATCTGCGCTACCTATTTGATCGACACAGCCCGCCATAGTATTCCCCGTCATTTATTTTTCATCAGACAAATTTGCACACATTCCCGTCGAAGCCTTCGCTCAGAAAAGCTGCGGTTACGTTACAACCTCGGTGTGACACAAATTTTTGCTCCTTAGACTGAGCAGAAAATAGCTCCTCTTGTTCCCCCGCTAATCAATATTGTAAAACAACTAGCGCCACACTTTCATCAGCAACGCACTGTCTGATCAATATCTAAACAGGCCGCCATTTTAGCGCCAAGGACATCGCTGATTGTTATTGGATTTGTGATGAGCTTAAGTGTGCTGCATTAAGATCTAATTGTACTTGAGATTACTAAGCACTTTGATGGTCGGCCTCATAACCCGCCCATCCTCCATGCGTCTCTGACTGTAGCTCAAACACGCAGTTTTGTATCCAACAAACTATATTTCAGAGTGGAAATGTTTACCGGTGAAACCTAATTTGCCGCCATTGTGCCCGCGCCCATCTCGTTTGGCTTTTTCAACAAATCTAAAGACCCTGTAGGCAAGTCTCACTACTTGGCGGCCATCTTGGAAATGCCCCGAGGCGGCTCATTTCAAGCTAATGAGACCAGACAGTAAATGAATCTGGAAGAAACCATAACTACAATTTCATTAGTCAAGGGGTCATAAAAAAAAAAAAACTGCATGTATAAGCTGATCAATGATATCTCATAAAAATTGCTTCAAAGGCTCCCATGGGTTATACATATATCTACGATGCACCACTTTAGTTTACGATTGGTTGGATGTTCTCCGCTTTGCTTCTTGCAAAGCAGACGATTTGCTCTGGGTGGACATACAACTGCCATCTTTAACGTAACAGATTTCTATTTAGGATTTTTTGAGCGGTGAGTCTTGGTAAACCCTTCTCCAACAATCAGCTGTGCAACCCTAGCTTAGCAACTAGACGTGACGAGTTTCTTGGTTTCTCCACATGGTGAAGCAGTGTGCATGTGGCTAGAGTAAGAAGGTGTAAAAACTGGAAAACGTTCAACCTTCTGACAGTCCTTGAAAGAATCACATCTGAATTTTAGTTTCTACAATTCTACAGTTTCATTGCGCAGATGGTGGCATGTGCTGTTTGCTGCTGCGTTCTGGATCATCTGCAGAGGTTTGACTGTGGATGCGAGGAGGCCTGCCAGTAAGGAGTTGCAGTAGTCAATGCATAATATTATGAGAGCTTGTACCAGGAGTTGTGCTGCATGTTCAGACAGCAAAGGTCTGATCTTCCTTAAGTTGTACAGGGCGAGTCAACACGACCAAGCAACAGAGGCCACGTGACCCTTAAAGGTCAGTCGGTCATCAATCAGGACACCCAAGTTTCTGATAGATTTTGTGGGTTTACGTTGGGTTGAATCAAGCTGGATGTTGATTTCTTGTTGTAGAGAGGAACTGGCTGGGATGACAAGGAGCTCAGTCTTAGAGAGGTTGAGTTGAAGGTGGTGTTTTTTCATCCATGCCGAGATGTCTACAAAGCATGATGAGATCTGGGCAGAGACCATGTGGTCATCCAGGGGGAATGACAGGAAGAGCTGGGTATCATCAGCATAGCAATCGTATGAGAAACCACCGAGTTACTCCGATTACTGCACCGAGTGAGGTTGTGTAAATTGAGAAGAGAAGGGGACCAAGCATCGCGAAAACACCCAAACCTAAGATCAAAACCACATTATTCTCCAAGTCTTGTTTAGAAATGTGCTTACTTTCTCGAACTAGATTTTGCAACAAACAAAAAAAATCTGCACTCCAAGGTGTAACTGTGAAGCCATGAGTGACTCAGCTGTGACCAAGAGTCTCATGACAAAAATGTGGAGACTTTTAGCAGAACTGGGCTGAATTACACGAAACAGATAGTATAGTCCTAAATAAAAGAACACAAGTAGTAATATATCAATAGCATATAAAGCTACCATTTTTCTAGTGTTGATAACACCTCTGGGCATTTCCAGGTTTTTAAATTTTTTTTAGAAAATAAATAATAAAAGAAATTAAACTTTTGTTTTTTTCATTTTTACGGATTTGATAACTGTGCACAAGAAGTTTTTGAGTTCTGTCTACTGCTAGTCATGGTTGTGCTACTTCCATAGAGGTTAAAAATGAGGACCAACAAATAGACACTGCTGGGGTTCAGAGGCGTTAAAGCTAAAAATATTAGAATAAAAGAGTATTTTTATTACCCTTTGTCTGCGGTCTCCTTTTAACACACTGCAGGTAAAAACCCTAACCTATCCCACGGACACAGCATTTTCAACTCATGAGCCGACGCTAGCTGAAGTAATCGAAATCTGTCGGCAACAGCCGTCAATTCAGCCAACAAAGCAATGTTCAGCCACCAGGAATAAGAAACTTGTTTTTGTCTGCGTCTGTCTAAAGATCAAAGACCCATTCTCTCTTAAATGACTAATAAGTCTCTATGTAATTACGCCACCGTTATCATTAAATGCTGCATTAACAGGAAGGGAAATTCATTTGGGCATTTTGCAGCCAAACGTTAAAACTCTTCAGCTCATCCAACAAAAGAAGAACAAAGTCTGAGTTTTAAGCTAAAAATATTCGGCTTAAGCACTTTCCACTTATCTCACATTATCCCTTTAATAAAACAGTGAGCGCCTGTTTTGGGTCAGCTGTTTCTGGTGGTCTCATTCCTGCGTGGGAATTTGTCCTTGGGGTAGTAATGAACCCTGAAAATCTCGTGTCCGGACCCCCACCCTCATTCACTCTGAATATAATTAAGTATTCATTAGTCGGGCTAATAATCGGAGAAATTTATAGAGAGGAAATGGTTTGATTATGAACTCAATCCACGTGAGAGTATATATAAAAAAAACCTCTTTGTCGGGGTGGTGTAATCATTCTGTCACATTGCTATAGTTCTGTTGTGGGTGTACACAGAAAAAACAAAAAAGTCAAAACCCTGATAAGATATTCGGGAGCAAACAGCGACTCATTACCTTCAACTAGAGCCTTGATCATTTGTGGCTTTCTTTCTTTTTTCTTTGGTGCAGAGATTCAATTAAATACAACCTTGCACAAGTTCACAAAACAATAGATCACGTTCTCAGATATTGTCGAAATTTAATAAAACTTTTCATACAACGCGCTCTCACCTGTCTGAAACACCAGGAGCTGAAAACAACAAAGTCCTGAAATGAATTTGTTTCCAGCTTAATATGACGGACGTTTGAATAATTGCCATTATGACACAATATCAGAGCTGCAAGTGTTCATTGTAGATCATTAGAGCATTGGTCAGTATGAATAAACTGTTGCTGGTACTTATTAAATGCTTAATGTTTGGTCTCTAAAATGTAGTTTAAAATTAAAAATCTCAAATACGATCATAAATGAAGCAGCTCGTACGCTCGGCCATAACTTTCCTCTCGTCCAGACTCTCCGCTGAAGAGTGAACGAGAGGTTTTGTTGACTCACGGTGAAAACATTCCCCAGGGGAGGCAAAGCTGAGAAAAAAAAAAACAAACAACAGCCAGATGAAATTGAGATTGATCACCTGATTGATTTTTCTTTTTGTAGCCCTGATTTTTAAACTTTATATCTGAAGTCCCATGTTAGATTGTTGTACATCTCCACTATTAAACATCAAACGGGCAATACAAAACCTATAGATTTGAGCTGCTGGGCCA